CTTCCTGTCTGACGCAGGGATGCTTCCAAACCAGACAGCGATGCCGTATGACGGGATGCTCTCGATCGTCCCCTCTGTAGAAATTGGTCAGGACAGGGGAAGGAAGATGCGCTTTTCCCATGCGACGCAGAAAATGCAGGTGCTGTTGTGCCCACTTCACCAGTGTCTCCCTGTTGAGCAACTAAACTTGCTCGTCCACTGCACAGCCAGAAACTTGATGCTACTAACCACCTCCACAGCTGAATTAAAATTCAACTCACATCGTAAATAAGTTTGAATAACACCCTGATCTAATAGGAGGCAGTTTGTTTACTTTTAATAAAGTTTACTATAGTTCCTAAGCAAAATAAAGGTAAAATCAGATAGCAAGGGGAACAGACCAAGATGTTTTCCCCAAGTCTTGAGAATATTTGGGGTAGCAACGAAGCAGAATGTTTGCATCCTCAAGCTTCCTTCTTGGGGAGGAAAAACCCCTCCCTAAAGCCAGTTTGCAAACCATGTTGGGCACCGCCTGGAACGGCTGGGATTAGAGGGCAGTTCATAAACCACCGGAGAGGAGCCGTCGAAAGGTCAGTCTGGGAAAAGACGCAGTCCGGCCATTGTGTCCGGCCCTCTGAGCGGAATGTGTGTGGTTCAAAGCTCACCCTCTGCCAACAGCAGCCAATTGACTTAGCATTAAGGCTCTCGATTGCTATGGAAACCCTCTGAAGAGCCCCTGAAACTGACCTGGAAACGCAAGGAGGAAGGCAAAAGAAAGCTGCAGAGCTCAATCTAAAAATAAAAAAAAAAGGGGTGGGGAGTCTCTAGAGAGGTGGAAATTCACCTGGCCTTGCAAGGTAAACAATTAAGAAGCCCTCCGAACTGACCTGACTCTCTGAAAGCCACCTAGAGCTGCAGAAATATTTTAGCCCAAACCAGAGGCAGCATCTTTTCTTAAAACTGGTCTAGAAACTCAAAAGTAATTATAGACGTGAAGGTTTCAGAAGCCTCAGCAACTACCCAATGTGAGATACAGGCAATCCTCGTTTAGCAAACCCAATTGGGACTGGCAACACGGTTAAGTGAAGCAGTCACAAAGACTCGGGTCTTTTAAGTCAAGTGCAGGTGTATCCAACCAGAGCAGTGGTTCTCAACCTTTTTAATGCCGCGACCCCAACCGGTCGTAAGTTGAGGACTAAACCGGTCGTAAGTCAAGGACTAAACTGGTCGTAAGTCGAGGACTAAACTGGTTGTAAGTCGAGGTCTACCCAACCGGTCATAAGTCGAGGACTTTCCCTGCCCGGGAGCGCCGCGCATGCGTGGTTCCGCCCCCTGCGCCGGCCGAGGCGTAGCTGGCAAGCGGCAGAGACGGAGCAGGCCGACCACCAGCTGGCCCAGCCCAAGGGAGGTAAGGCACCCGCCGGAAAAGGGGGAAAAAATGGCGGACAGCCTTGCTTGGCGACCCCCGTGAAA